GTTTGATCTCCTTGCAATCTCAAGAGTCTTCTCCAGCACAGTTTGAAAGAATCGATTCTTCAGTGCTCAGCCTTCTTTATAATCTAACTCTCACATCTGTATATGACTACTGGAAAAACCATAGCTTTGACTAAATGGACCTTTGTTGGCAATGTGATGTCTCTGCTTTTTAATACACTATCTAGGTTAATCATAGTTTTTCTTCCAAGGAACAAGTGCCTTTTAATTTCATGGCTACAGTCACCATCTGCAGTGATTTTAGAGCCCAAGAAAATCTGTCATTGTTTCCACTTTTCCCCAATCCATTTGCCGTGAAGTGATGGGAGTGGATGCCATGATCTTAGTTTTTTGAATGTTGAGTTTTAAGCCAGCTTTTTCACTCTCCTCTTTCACCCTCATCAAGAGGCTCTTTAGTTCCTCTTTGCTTTCTGCCATTAGCGTAGTGTCATCTGCATGTCTGAGGTTGTTGATAATTCTCTTGGCAATCTTGATTCCAGTTTGTGATTCATCCAGCCTGGTATTTTGCATGACGTATTCTGCATAGAAGTTAAATAAGCAAGGTGACAGTTTGTAATCTTCTCATACTTTCCAATTTTGAACCAGTCTGTTTTTCCATGTCTAGTTCTAAATGTTGCTTCTTGACTTGCATATAGGTTTCTTAGGAGGTAAAGTAGGGTGGTCTGCTATTTCCATTTCTTTAAGGATTTTCCACAGTTTGTTGTGATTCACACAGTTAAAGGCTTTGGTGTAGTCAATGAAGCAGAAGTGGGTGTTTTTCTGGAACTCCCTTGCTTTCTCCATGATCCAGCAAATGTTGACAATTTGATCTCTTCTTCTGCCTCTTTGAAACCAAGCTTGTACATCTGGAAGTTTTTGATCATGTACTGCTAAAGCCTGGCTTGAAGGATTTTGAGCATAACCTTGTTTGCATGTGAAATGAGCAATTGGCCATGATTGTATAATGGTTAGTACTCTGTGTTGTGAAATGAGCAAAATTGTACAGTAGTTTGAACATTCTTTGGCATTGCCTTTTTGGGATTGGAGTGAATATTGGCCTTTTCCAGTCCTGTTGCCATTCCTGAGTTTCCCAGATTTGCTGACATTATCTAGTTCAGCACATTAACAGCATCATCTTTTATGATTTTAAGTAGCTCAGCTGGAATTCCATCGCTTCCACTAGCTTTGTTTGTGGTAATGCTTCTTAAGACCCTCTTGACTTCACACACCAGGATGTCTGGCTATAGGTGAGTGACCACACCATCGTGGTTATCTAGGTCATTAAGATCATTTTGCACAGTTCTTCTGTATATTCTTACCACCTCTTCTTCATCTCTTTTGCATCTATTAGGTCCTTACTGTTTCTGTCCTTTATTGAACCCATCCTTGCATGAAATATTCCTTTGATATCTCCCAGTATTCTTGAAGAGATATCTAATCATTCTCATTCTATTGTTTCCCTCTATTTCTTTGCATTGTTTATTTAAGAAGGCCTTCTTATCTCCCCTTGCTGTTCTTTAGACCTCTGCATTCAGTCGGATATATCTTTCCCCTTTTCCCTTGCCTTTCCCTTCTCTTCTTTCCTCAGCTGTTTGCAAAGTCTCCTCAGACAACCATTTTGTCTTCTTACATTTCTTTATCTTTGGGATATTTTGGTCACCACCCCTTGCACAGTGTTACAAACCTCCATCCACAGTTCTTCAGGCACTCTGTCTACCGAGTCTAATCTCTCGAATCTGTGCATCACCTCCACTGTTAATCATAACGGATTTGATTTTAGGTCATACATGAATGGCCTAGTGGTTTTCCCTACTTTTTTCAATTTCAGTCTGAATCTTACAATAAGGAGCTCATGATCTGAGCCACAGTGAGCTCCAGGTCTTGTTTTTGCTGACTGTATAGAGCTTCTTCATCTTTGGCTGCAAAGGACATAATCAATCTGATTTCAGTATTGACCATCTAGTGACATCCGGGTGTGGAGTCATCTCTTGGGTTGTTGGAAAAGGGTGCTTACTATGACCAGCGTGTTCTCTTGATAAAACTGTTAGCCTTTGCCCTGCTTCATTTTGTACTCCAAGGTCAAACTTGTCTGTTATTCCCAGTATCTCTTGACTTTTGCATTCCAATCCCCTATGATGAAAAGGGCATCTTTTTTTGGTGTTAGATCCAGACCTTTTAGGTTTACAGAACCAGTGAACTTCAGCTTCTTCAGTATCAGTGGTCGGGGCATAGAATTGGACTACTATGATGTTGAATTGTTTGCCTTGGAAACGAACCGAGATCCTTCTGTCATTTTTGAGATTGCACCCAAGTACTGCATTTCAGACTCTTTTGTTGACTTTTTTTTTTTATCATTGTGTAGTTAGACAAAAAATTGTCTCTATGAGAATTTTGCTGTTTTCAAGTAAATAATACAGCTAAACTAATAATTTATAATAAATTAATAATGTAAACCTTACATGCAATTATATCATATTTCCTTAAACTATTCAGATTATTGCTAGAGATTGATATCTAATTCTAGGGACTTCTATTAAAGAGTAGAGCAGTATTTCTCAAACTTTAGTGTGCAGAAGATTACCCTGGAAAAATGTAAACAGATTCCTTGGCCTCACTTCTAGGGATGCTGCTGCCGATGATTTCTAGACCTGTACTTTGAGTACCTCTAATGTAGAAAACTTGGAAAAATCCTGAAGATTGATGTGCATAACCTATGACGAGTAGGAACTCTCATGATTTAGCCAGAAGATTAACATGAAAATGTAATGTAAAAAATGAAATCAAGTGATGAACTAAGCACCTGAATGCCCTAGCATTTACTTTATACTCCCAACTTCTGTAATTTTAACAATTAAATACATAATACCATGAGAACAAGAGGGGGCTTCTGATGACCCACAAATTATGAGAAAGGCTTAAAGTGGTAGGTAGTGGCATATTTTTAAGGTAAATGTCACATCCCAAAAAGCTTGTAAGAGCATTTTTTTTAGGGTGGATTCAAGAAATAGGAGGGTAGCTGGCAGCCAGCCAGATAGTAGTACTTGTTCAATTCAGTCCAGTCCAGTCGCTCGTGTCCGACTCTTTGCGACCCCGTGGACCACAGCACGCCAGGCCTCCCTGTCCATCACCAGCTCCCGGAGTTCACTCAGACTCATGCCCATCGAGTCGGTGATGCCATCCAGCCATCTCATCCTCTGCCGTCCCCTTCTCCTCCTGCCCCCAACCCCTCCCAGCAGAGTACTTGTTAGTACTGCAGTAATAGCAGCCAGCTGGCTAGTTCCTCATCCACTCCTCCTCACCCACTAGCCTCAGAATAGAGACAACGGTGTCATATTTCCAGCAAATAGGAGGGAGATGAGCCTTTGAAGGAGAATAAGTATCAAATGGCTATCAACTCCCAGCAGTTTGGGGGGGGTGCTCTAATGCTCAGAATGCAATTTATTGGCAACCCCAGCCAGCAACACATCCCTGACCCTGCTCCCTAGCACTGGAGGTGAACTACCCTGAACAGAGCATTCATGGAGAGGCTAATGTGGAATCCCAAATTCCAGAAAGAACAAGCGAAAATCACCAGATATTCATGAAAAATTGACACCATAAGGAAAAATGAGCCAAATGTAACAAACAGAAAATGCAAATATACCAGTATATACATTTACAAGGGTAAGTTATTGAATATTTTAATAAAAAAGAAATAATTATCTTATTATTCCTTAATTAGCCTAAAGGAAATCAACTCTGAATATTCATTGGAAGGACTGATGCTGAAGCTCCAAAACTTTGGTCTCCTTATGCGAAAAGCCAACTAATTGGAAAAGACCCTGATGCTGGGAAAGATTGAGGGCAGGGGGAGAAGGGTGCAATAGAGAATGAGATGGTTGGATGGCATCACCAACTCAATGGATGTGAGTTTGAGCAAACTCTGGGAGATAGTGAAGGACAGGGAAGCCTAGCATGCTGTAGTCCATGGGATTGCAAAGAGGTGGACTTGACTGAGCAACTGAAAAACAACAATTAGTTATCTTAAGAAGAGAAACTATTAAATCCTTGAAATAGGAATTTTTTTTTTCCCTAAAGAGGAGACATTTGGGGGTGGGGAGGGAGTGGCGGGAGTCAGTAAATAAGCTGAATAGGAGATAAAGCTAAATAACAAGCAATGACTCCAAGGACTGAGCTGAGTAGTTCTGCTAGGATATAATACAAAAGGACAAAGAAATCAAAAGTAAGAAAAGCTTATTTTTTGTTTTTAACTTTTTGATACAGAGATCAGGGTAATGCTGATCTGTGTATCAAATTTGATATCAGTTTAATTCAGCTTTCAGGGTAATGCTTGACCAGTAATTTGTGGATAATGTCAGCCTTTCTCATGGTAGAGATAACCCATCACCAACCCTCTAGACCTCTGGCAGGCAGCTCTACTTGTGTTCCTAGACAGATTTGCAGGAATGAGTGTGAGCAGCAATTGATGAATTTTAGTGTAGTATCAAAGGAGAATATGTGTAATTGTGTGAAGAGTCTATTATAACACTCCTGCCTTTTAAAGCTACATATCTGTGTGGGACTAGACTCCATGTAATTCAACCAAAATAATGTATTGCAATAAATATGTACAACTAAATATAAGAATCCACTGTCTTCTTTCAAACTGTATAGGAAAGAGATTTGTGAACATATAAAAGAGTGCCACTCTTCTCACTAAATATTTTTTTGTTTTGTAAAATATTGTTTAACAAAAAATGTTACTCATGTTAAGGTCAAATGGATTCATTTTTGATACTTTTAGCTAGCTAATAAATATTTTAGTTGTCTTTGTTTTAATTGCAAATGTGATGAATATCAGTAGTTGTAACCTCAGAAATGAAAGAAATAATTCGAAGAAATTCAAATCAAAAAAATAATTCAAAGAAATAATTAAATTCTTTCGGCATGAAGATTTTATATGCCTTTAACTATGTGTGGCTCTAAGATTTGGGTGCTTATTTCTCATTTTATTTATTCCATAGGATGTCTCCTGAACGAGTAAGGTCCCTGTCGCGAATCTGTGTCCCACTTGTTACTTTGCCAGATTTTGAACCACTGGTAGAGGCTCTGCTCACCTACCATGGACATGAACCTCAGGAAGTTCTCTGGCCTGAGTTCTTTGATGCTGTGAATGAGGCTTTTTTGCTGTAAGTGATGACCCTTTACTTCATCATCCAATTCTGTTTTCCTTTTTATAGAATACTTCAGTATGTTGGAAATGTAATTTTCAAATGTTTTGGTCTTAGTATACTGTATATTCCTAAAAATTACTGAGGATCTCAATGAACTTTTAAAAAAATGTGGGTTCTATCTGTCAATATTTACCATACTTGAAATTAAAACAAAAAATTTTTAAATATTTATCATTTCATTTTACAATAACAATAATTGATTAAATATTAATACAAATAGCATATTTTTTAACAAAAAACTGACCTTTTCCAAGAAAAAAAAATTGTCCACCAAGAATGACATTGTTTTTACATTTTTTCAGTCTTCTTTATTTTTTGACTTAAAAGATGACAGCTAGGTTCTCACAGTATTTCTGTATTCAGTCTGATGCAGTATTTTTTTGGGTTGAAGTATAAGAAAATCCAGCTTCACATAGACATGCACTTGGAAAAAGGACTAGTATATTTTAATAGCCATCTCAGATTGTGGATATTTGAGGTGAATACCTCACCAAAAGTTGAAAATGGTGGTTTTTTTTTAAAGGTTAGTTGCAATGTGGATTCTGAAATTATGTAAATGAGCTTTTCATACTATTACATTAAAACCCATTGGTCTGTCTTGTACTTTTAATGGATTTTGTAGTTTCATACATGGTTTGTTTGGAAAATATTGGTTCATTAAGTTATGCAGATCTTCTAAACATTGACATATTTTCATTTTATACTATCAAAATTACATTCATTCACAACTAGTCTTATCAGGAATGTCTTTTAAGTGTTGGGAAGCTATAAAGCTCACATTGGTGCAAGCAAATTTTCCAAGATTCTAATTCCTGCTTAAAAACTCAAATTTATCATTGGTTACAATGCTGTCAGTTGTTTTCCTTAGTATGCTAAGGTCACTTCTGTAATTTTGAAAAAGTATGTGCCAAATATTCAAGTCTGAATAATCTTTGTTTGTTCGCCAGTCATTTTTCTCAAGTAAGTTTATGAAAAAAGTGGCTAGTTGATCTTGCAGCTCAGCAAGTTACACAAGTGCTTTTCCTCTAGACAGTCATCATTTTTTGGTATATGACAGAAATGCTTTATGCATACTTTTCACCACACAGAATTTTTTTTAAGTTCAAAGTGTCCTCAAGGGTAAAATTAAGAAAATTAATATTTTATATTAATACTTACTGTGAAATGCATTTTTATGTGAAACTGGCAGTGTTTTTACTGTATGTAGTATCAGAGTGTACAGTGACTACTGTCACTGCTCTGGTTTGTGTTAGGTACAGATTACTTGCTTTTTGTACTATGAATGCAAATGTCAACTCAGCTGTTCTAGGAAAACCACGAGATACAAAATAGTTATTCAACACTTCAAGTATTTCTGTACCATATGTGTGTATTGATAAGTTCATCTAAAAAAAAACTCCTATTCTTAGTTAGTGCTAATACCAGGTGAATAGAAGCAACACAGCTAGTTCAGTCATATCTAGAGATTCAATTTTAAGGCAGAAGTACAGTTCTGTTGATGAAATACTAAATCAAATACACATTTGAATTATTTAACTCCTTTTTTTAAAGATTCTGAATGATTGGTCTTACGTTAGTGCTGCAATTAGCTAGCACTGTGATAGAGTTTGAGAATATCCTGTTAGGATACAGGAAGATACATTTACAATTTAGCACAATACTTTGAACTAGTTGTCCTACTCTCATGAGTCAGAGAAATATCTGGTGTTTTGATTTTATCTTTTCCCCATGAAACAGCTGTGAAATGAAAGGATAAATCTTTTAATTCTCTTTTGTAAAGCAAATAATCCAGTTTGAATATAAGAAAATTTAAATAAAATTTATTTTTTAATAAAATATTAAAGTTTAAAATAAATAAAAATGTTTTATTTATATAAAAGATTTAAATATGTAAAGTATATATCTAAAATAATTTGGATACAATTTAGGAAATTTTTTAAAAGATGTTTGGGTTTATTATAAAATAAGACAAAAATGCACTTGGCTTCTGTTATGTTTCCATGTAAACACAAGAGAAAATATCAGAGTTTTTATTTATTTATTACATTTTATTTTCCCCCACCTTTATTGAGATATAAGTGATATATAACGTGGTGTATTTTTTAAGATGTATGAATTAATTTAGTTGCAAATGACTACCACCATAGTGTTAGTTAATACCTCCCTCACATCATAGGATTGGCATTTCTTTTTTTTTGTTGTGAGAATATTTCAGATCTACTTTTAGCAACTTTCAAATATGCAATTCAGTATTATTAACTATGTGCCATGCTGTGCTGTACTTAGTAGCTCAGTCATGTCTGTCTCTGCAAACCCATGGACTGTAGCCCACCAAGCTCCCCTGTCCATGGGGCTTCTCCAGGTAAGAATCCTGGAGTGGATTGCCATGCCCTCGTCCAGGGGATCTTCCTAACCCAGGGATCAAACCCAGGCTTCCTGCATTGCATGCAGATTCTTTACCATCTGAGCCACTAGGGAAGCCCATTATTAACTACAATCAGCAAGATGTATTTTTAGATCCCCAGAACTTATTCATCTTATAACTGGAAGTTTTAAGTACTTTTTGATCAACATCTTCCCATTTCTCCCACACCCCCAGTCCCTAGTAGCCATCGTTCTAGTCTCTATTTCTATGAGTTTATATTTTTTTAGATTCCACATAAAGTGATACCATATTTGTTTCTTTAACTTACTTCATTTAGCGTAATGCCCTCAAGGTCATGCCCTCCATGTTGTCACAGCCAAGGATTTCCTTCCCTTCTCATGCCTGAGTAATACCTGATTGTGTGTATGTGTGTGTGTACAGATATAAATACCACATCTTTATTCATTCTTCTATTGTTGGACACTTAGCTTGTTTTCATATCTTAACTATTTTGAATATACATAATAAACATGGGAGAACAAATATCTTTTTGATACCTTGTTTTTATTCCCTTTGGATATATACCCAGAAGTGGGATTGCTAGATCGTTTGATAGTTTTAGTTTTAATTTTTTGAGAAGCCTCTATACTGTTTTCCATAGTAGCTGCACCAATTTGTGTTCCCACCAGTGTTACACCAAGGGTTCCCTTTTCTTCACATTCTCACCAACACTTGTTATCTTTTGTTTTTTTGATGATAGCCATCCTAGTAGGTGTGGAATGATATTTCACTGTGATTTTGATTTGCATTTCCCTAATGATTAGTGATATTGAGTACCTTTTCGTTTACCTGTTGGGCATTTGCATATCTTCTTTGGAAAAATGTTTATGCATATGTTCTGCCCACTTTTTAATCAGATTGTTTCATTTTTTTTCCTGTTGAGTTATATGAGTTCTTTATATATATTGGATGTTTACTCATTATCAGACATATACTGTGCAAATATTTTCTTTCCTTCTTTAGGTTGCCTTTTTATTTTGTTGATAGTGTAGAAGTTTTTTGCAATATAGAAACTTCTTAGTTTGATGTAGTTCCACTTAATCTATTTTTGCTTTTGTTGCCTTTGCTTTCATTGTCAAATCAAAAAAGTCATTGCTAAGACTAATGTCATTCTTGTCCTCTATTATATTTTCTTCTGGGAGTTTTACAGTTTTAGGTCTTAACATTCAATTCCTTAATCCATTTTGAGTTGATTTTTGTGTTTAGTATAAGATAGGGGTCCAGTGTCTTTTTTTTTTTTTTTTGCATGTGGTTTATCCATTTTCCCAGTATCATTTATTGAAGCAACTATTTTTCCCCTACTGTATATTCCTGGCCTTTCTGTCATAATTTAGTTGATTTATATATTTGTGAGTTTGTTTCTAGGCTGTCTTTTCTGACTGATGTGTGTATACCAATGCCATACTGTTTTGATTATTATAGTTTTGTAATATAGTTTACATGTAAAGCTGTGAGAGTTGGACTATAAAGAAAGCTGAGTGCAGAAGAATTGTGCTTTTGATGCTTTTTAACTGTGGTGTTGGAGAAGACTCTTGAGAGTCTCTTGGACTGCAGGGAGAGCCAACCAGTCCATCCTAAAGGAAATCAGTCCTGAATATTCATTGGAAGGACTGATGCTGAAGCTGAAACTCCAATACTCTGGCTACCTGATGTGAAGAACTGACTCATTGGAAAAGACCCTGATGCTAGGAAAGATTGAAGGCGGGAGGAGAAGGGGACAACAGAGGATGAGATGGCTGGATAGCATCACCGACTTGATGGACATGAGTTTGAGTAAGCTCTGGGAGTTGGTGATGGACAGGGAAGCCTAGTGTACTGCAGTCCATGGCGTCACAAAGAGTCAGACACAACTGAGTGACTGAACTGAACTGATAATAGTTTGAAATCAGGAATTACGATATCTCCCCCTCTTCTTTCTCAAGACTGCTTTGACTGTTCAGGGTTATGATTTCATATAAATGTTAGGGTTGTTTTTTCTGTTTCTGTGAAAAATAGCATTAGAATTTTGATAGGGATTGCATTGAATCTATAGGTCACTTTGGGTAGTATAGACATTTTAACAATATTAATTCTTCTGATCCATGGAAAAGTGTATTTCCACTTAATTGTATCTTCTTCGCTTTCTTTCCTCAAAATCTTAATCGTTTTCAGTAAACAGATCATTAGCCTCTTTGGTTAAATTTATTCCTAGGTGTTTTAGTCTTTTTGATGCAGTTGTAAATGTGATTGTTTTCTTAATTTCTTTTTTTATAATAGATAATTCATTGTTAGTATTTAAAAATGCAGTTGATTTTTGTATTAATTTTATATCCTACAACTTTACTGAGTTTATTGGTTAATTGTAATTTTGTTTTTTTGTGTGTGAAGTCTTTATGGTGTGTTTGTGTATGTATGTGTATGTATCTCCTGTCATGTGCAAATAGAGACAGTTCTACTTCTCCTTTTTAGACGTGCATGCCTTTTATTTCTCTTTCTTGCCTAATTGCTCTGACTAGGTCTTACACTATTATGTTGAATAAAAATGGAAGAG